TTGAGCTAGCTGCTCGAAAAGAGTAATGAGTATAAAATGTCCGTCTGCATGATCTTCGTCGACTGTAAAAGTAGATTTGACATGGTAATGCGTGAAGCAGTTTTCTTTGCGTTGGAAAAGCAAAGAATGGAAATACATGATCCCTCTCTGAATAAAGAATACAAGAAATTAACACATGCTGCAGCGCGAAGATTCTGTTGTTTGAATGCCCAGTTAACATCAAGATTTTTGCGTATGTTGCTCAAGTAGATATCAGATCTTCCGAGCCATTTACTGCATGTCTTGAGTTTTGCACCATTCAACAACGTGAAATCGGATGGAGAGTTTTCAGAACAACTAAGTTGGACTTCGCATAGACTGGACTTTGGGTAACCAGTTGCAGTTACTAATGGTGATCAAATAAAGGAAGTCATCAAGTACATCTACTTGGGACAGCGCTTATCGTGTCAGGTCAGTCCTTTGGTTTAAAATCGCCTATAAGACGTCATACGGCGTGGAATACATGTAGAAGAAATGCTGATATTATTAAGGTTCAAGTTTATTACGCCATAATAGGTGCCGAAGTAACTGTTTTTCAACGAAATTGCCTTGCTTCGCATATGCAACACTGCAAGAGCAATACTGATTAAGAGCATAGACTTTCTCATGAGGAAAGATGCAGCGAATTTCCATCTACACCAAGCTACGAAATTAACTAGGCACACAAAACTCCAGGACGTTGTATCGGTGTCACAAAGAGAAAACGACAACAGAAACGTTATATCGCACGACTAATGGATGATCGATGGATGTCGGTTGTACCGATTGCCACCCAAGATGTTTTAAGCGTCCAGTGGCAAGATCATTGGAAAATTAGCTGAAAATGGGTTATTGAAATCTTTTATTAATCTGCAGCTTGCATCGGCGTCGATAATAAAATAATTTGGTAATTATATAAATCTTATGGTTGCGGTTTCCTCTATACGCACTGGCCGTTTACCTTGGAGATGAAACCGATAGTTTGTAGTTTTAATGCGCATTTAAAAATATGACAAATATTTGTATGACGACTGCGTATCACAGTTGGCTGGCAGTCATGACCATGACACTTGGTATATTCTGTTCCACTGAGAGCAGAATGATTATGGATGAATGTATATGCTGGAAATAGGTATGATTTCTAAATCTTGACTATTCCAGTAGTACGAAAAATCGTATTTCTTGTCTTTTGTCATTTCCGGACATCATTCGTCCAAGTGTGGTCATGACGTTATTCTATATTCAGAAGATATAAGACATTACAAAACCTGTTTATACATTATTCGTCATCATGGTAACCAGTCCTTTCGTTCTTGGTTTTAGCTAAAGTTTTAGTTGTTGTTTCTCTTGGGCAAGTCTGCCTTAAAAGCATTAGATTCGCTGTAGATTCCGCGGTCCATTTTCGCGTTAGTCAACTAACTTGGCCAGTGCTTCCTCCCAGTGACGAGAATATAAGGGTAGGCTTATAAAAAAGCAAACTTATGAAGTAACGAATGTGGTTCAGTGGTTCAGCAAAACGATTATCAGATTGCGCCAACTGATGACTTGCTACTTTACATATTTCTGTCTCTCATATTCGTTTTCTATCATGTTGCCTCAGTTGTTTAGCCGTTGGCGTCCACTTCACATATCCTCCTCACTTATTAAAACTTAACCGCCACATGCTACGCCAGTTTTAACATGTAACAGTCAGCTTAATGATTTTTTATAGCTGAAGTTGCTCAGCTGGTAGAACGACAAAGCCAGAACTCTGAGGATTTGCGCTTGAGACCTTATCTGGTTTTCGATAGCTGGTTTCGTTTGCTTGTCTGGTAAATGAATGAGACAGCGGACTGTGTTCTGTCTTTATCACACCTAAATGCACATATGGCCTTATTACAGAAACTGCAACAACGGAGATTAGCACCGGCTCGTATTTTCAATGAAAGAAGAGTGACACAAACGGTACCAAGTAGTGTAGAATGTAAAGAAGAACCGGATTCGTTACATACTTTCTATTTTACTTTCTTTTTTGCTGGTTGTAGCTGTTGTTAAATTAAAGCGACTGTTAAACGAAAAGTATATTGAGTTCATGTAGACTCGCTCTTACCTGCGGCCATCACAAAACTCTCTGAACTGTTTCCACACCTTCATATGGTCA